TTAATAAATTAATAAATTAAAATTGTTAACAAAATTTTCGTTACATGTGTCTTGACACTCTTGACGTATAAACTTCTTTTTTAATCTAAGATTTATCGAATTAAAAAATGTTTACAGAGTTTTACAATAAGTAAAAATTAAGTTAACGAGTTAAAATCTTAAAATTATTATCACTCAACATAAAGATGATTTTTCATGTTTGTGTTATATATAGATATTGAAATCTAACTATTTTTACGCAAATTTTATTTGAGGGTCATCAATATTGATTTTGAATTTCAAGAGGCTAAGGGTACAATGGAAGCTGTCATTTCCGCGGAAGTTACGAGTAAACTCTAGTTTGGGTTAGTTAAGATAAACCCTATAGGATAACTACGAGGTGACCAAGAGCAGCCATGATTAGCACTTTCATCCTCTCCTAGGTGATATCCTTGTCTTGTGTGATATTAAGGAATGAAAACAATAATACATTATATACACTGTTAAATCTATTGTGTCAAATTGAATCTTATTTAAGTCGTCACTGCTCCTACTTAATAAACAGTTATTTTTAATTAAAACAATATACTTTTAAGTAAAACAATAAAATTTAACCCAAATTTGGGTTAAATTTGAACTTATTTTAAATTAATTAACTTCATTGTTTTAGTAAAAAATAACTATTTATTAAGTAAGAGCAGTGGCGACTTAAATAAGGTTCATTTAACACTATAGATTTAACAGTGTACAGCTAATACATATACACATATGCGTGTATCCAGTCATAAGCTTGCGGGAGAAGTTTGATAACCAAATTACACGTCAATTATAATGTACATAATTTTAATTATGGTTCGAGCCAAACTTATTGGCAAATATAGAACTTGTAGTCCGAAAATAAAGGTATTCCATTTATGTTAGATATTTTGAAATAGCATAAAACGCTGACTATACGTGGGAAATTCTTAATTATTATATCGTAATTTATTATATTTAAATGGTTATACTGTTTCACTTTTTCAGTAATAATTTAAAAAAACAATATTCGTAATTAAGAAGATTTTACGATATAATTGTTTTGTCAGAAATAATAATACAGTGTAAAATGTATACAAAATGCATATTATGGATCGTAATATATTCAGTGAATTTCAAATGAATACGTTATCACTTTATGAGCTTTCCATATCATTGCCTATGATTTCGCTTCATTTGCTCGGCCAAATATATCTAAAAAAAAATCTCGATCAACGACCTCGAGATGTTAAGAATAACTCAAAAGAAGGAAAAGTAAAGAAAGATCGCGTTCTGTTCTTCTTACAAACTTCTGAGATTTATCAAAACTCAAGTCATCCCTAGGCTCCTAAATCAAACATTTTTTCGAAGGACAAACTTAGAACAAAGATTGACAACGCGGCGTAGAGCCGAGTTAAATATGGTCGAGAAATCGAGGGGAAACTCTGGCGTTCACGTTAAATCCAAGCTTGATCGTAGAATTTATTTCGCTCGGCTCAGCATTCCTCCTCCTTTACGGAGCTACGGAAATACGATGAACGGGTTACCGCGGAACCCGAGTACGTTAGATCGACGAGTGTGTTTTCCTTAGTCGGATTGGAGCGAAGGGAAATCTCTTCGCGGATGCGCCCCATCAGTTTTCCACCGTGCTTCCGTCAACGATGAATTTCTGATGAATCTCTCCAATATCGAAGATCCAGAGACTATTTGCCCTATTTTCACTTGATAATCACTGGGTGGCTTTCAGCCACTATCCATTGGATCATTTATCCGTACATCTCCCTAACGTTTCGACGGACAAATAGATAGCGGAAGGTTATTGTTAAAAATAGATGGTTATCTCATCCCTCGATTCTGAATTCAAAGCCATGAATTGCGTATACGTGAATGTACGATCGACGTATCATCTCGTTGAATCTAGATATTTAAAAAGCATATATAATATTTTGTGCACTCATGCAAAATCTTATTTCTCACAAATTCGTTGATACTTAGAAAAACGCTTTATCTAATATTTCTATTTATACAAATATTAATGTATTAAAAACTAATGCATTTTTCATTTAATGGAAAATGTTAAATAAATGTGAGAGAACATATAATTCTTCGATATTTTTCGTTTGTCGATATGTTACGCGGAGATGCATATATAAATTACAGATATAATCTTATGCATGTTTGTGAAATCTGTACGTAGAAATGGAAACATGTTAATACGGAAAAATATTAGGATTTATGCATTTTAACTAAATAATATAATTTCTTCCCACACATTTCATCTTTCTTTATAATTATCTCTTTAATTGTAGGCAATAAAAATTGTTAAAAGTATAGCTACATTTAATTAAGGGATACAATTTTTTAATATTTTATACATGCAAAACTTAACTTATCTTTTAATCTGTAATTACTTATAATTTTAAAAACGAATATAATAATATTGGAATAATTAATAGTCTTTTTAATTTGATTTTTGATACTTAAACATTAAAAGAAAATAAATAACAGTTTTTTTTTCTTCATTTTGCCACATATTAACAATCCTATTTTTTACGATGATCACAAAATTTTTTGAATGTTGGTATTATACAGATTCTACGCGTAAATCCGTACAACTAAAGCCGAATTGGAGAATTATATCTTCCATTTAATGCCTCTACGCAGCTTTTTTTGTTCGCTCATAGAGCTTCGTTTTCCCGCTTGAGCTTATTCGTCCGATGCAAAAAAAAAAAAAAAGAAAAAAGAATCGCTTGTATTGGATCGTCGCATAGAAACGGATCTTTGTAATCCAACAGACATCTTTGATCCCGCCAAAAGCGCTTCCGTCACTGACAAGCAGGCCCGATCGATTGCGAAAGGGAGACTGCAAGAGTTCGCTATTTTACACCTCGGACGCGCGCACGGTGCCCCATCGAGCCCCAGAAGTGACTATTCGTTTTGGAATTGTCATTTAATTAACAAACGCCGACAAACGCTGACCTCGCGCTTTTCAACAAAGACTGCGCTCTATGTTGTTGATTAATTTTAATTTCGCGCTTGCTTGGTAGATGATTCTAAAAACGAGTAAATAACTTCAATAAGTTTGTAGGTTGTTGTGTTCAGTTCTAACAAGCTTGATATAGCCGATGATTTATATCACAGCCGGTAATATCTATTCATCGAGAACAGGTGAGTTGTTTATTGGAATTTTTGTCGAAACGTTATCTTGGTTGTCGTGTCAGTGGCATCCTCAGTAATAGATTTATTAATTTGCGTTACAAGAAGGCTCAACAAATATAATGCTAAAATGCAAATTTGACGCATAAAGCAGAAACCTCAAAACATGTGAATATAATTATTTAATTTATAAATGGAAACTTGATAAAACCACATCTATCAAATGCCAACATTTTAACTTCATATTAATATATTATTATATAAATGAAAAGCTATATGTTATTATATTTTATTATAAACATAACATATTATTTTGCGTAATTGTAAATATATTTTTAAAGTTTTATTGAATAAATTACATTGACATATGAATACAATAGAGACAAAAGAGACACACAATATGACTCTTTGAATAGAAAATGTTTATACATTTATATATTCAAATATTTCCTAATTTCGCAATATTTCTCTCTCAAGCAATCAATTAAAAATTGAAACATAATCATTCTTTTATTGACTTTTTAAAAATACATACTCATTAAGATTATTTTAACGTGTTAATTGCCATAAGGCCATCCACAATCGACGTCTGAATTTTCAGTAACGCTCGGATAGTAAAATCGGCGCTTGAAATATTTTAAAACAATTGTAAATAAATACTATCTAATATAAAAATTTTGAAATGAATATCTAAATAGCAATGTAAAATAAAAAGTGCGCAATTCAATAACTAAGAGAATATAAGTTTTTTTTTAATTATTACATAACATTATATATGCTTATATAATAGCGAAAATTCTATTGCGGCGGTAAGGCATACAAAACACATTGAGGAAACAACATGTTAAGAAATACTAGATATTATATCACGAAAGAAACCACGTCTATACCCATATTGCGTTGGCACTCCCACCCATCGAGAGACATTATCTGTTCATCGACCCACGAACGACAATTCAGATAGAGCGATAATCTTCAACATGTCGGACAGTACGCTGATTCTCACTACTTGCTATGCCATTCGATCGCGTACGTGTCTCATCGAGATAGGATTCGCATTAATGTGGCTGTTAACTGTCACGTTCAATTAATGTCCATCATTACCGTGACACCGTCTAAACTGTGATTTCAGTTGCATTGGAAAAGTTGCCCCAGGATAATTAACGGAAAATTATCGAAAGACATTCTGTAACGCGACAATTATTACACGATTGTAATTTTTATACGTCTAGCCTCGTTCACTTTACTTAACACGTCAACCAACCGGAACACATCAAAGGCAAACTCGATCACAACTTTTTCTATTGATGTTTGCTCTAGTAAAACAATCGTATTCGTTTTGTCGAGCGAACAGTTACTGAGTGACGTGTCAGCTGCTATTAAACGTGTGTTCCCAATTTCTAAAGACATTTCCTTTGTTATATCAATTCATCAAACTCCAAAAAAATACACTGACAGGTATTTTTTACAAAAGAAAGTGATGGACAAAACGGAAAATAATCAACTGAGAAAAATTGATCACTATCATCACGATGTATGTATTATTAAATATCAAATTTAGTATTCTCTTTCAGTATAAATTTTATTCACCATCCGCGATTAACGTTGCGCCGTAACAAGATAGACAATTAAAACAATTACACATGAAATTGCCAGAGTCTCTAAATGCGTACAATTAACAAGCGGGCAACACAATCCGAAGCACGCGCGCGCGCGCGCGCGCGTCTCAAATTCCGAATGGAGTCTTTGCCATCTGATCCAGCGAAGGCCGGAAGCGACCGCGCGATTTAGTGGTGCCACTAGTGACCTAGTTTGCACCAGGCTCCGAACACCAGACGCCGATTACTCACCGTCACGCAGACGTTCGACGACGATGGCGTCAAGGAGCGATCGAGAAGCAAGTTCCGTCGTCGAGGCAAAATCGTGACACGATGTAACGTCTTTCGTATGTTAACCGCACGTACTTCCTGCAAACATCCCCGGCGTCTTAAATAAATCACGATAAAGAGTTAGGCGTACGAGCCCCGCGTTCGTTCGAGCGTTCCAAGTGGAATAGCCACTTGTAGAGTCGGCGGATGACCGGGCGCGTAAACCAGACTGGCGGGTTGATAAACAGGTGAGATGTCGTCGCGTGCCTCTCTCCCTCTTCCCCCAGCCGCTCGCGTTCCACTCCTTCCACTTTCACCAGTTGCACCCTCCCGGTTTCACCCCGGCGCATCTCACTCCCTCCCAGATAGTTTCCCCCTCCAGGCACGCCATCCATCTCGCTCTTGTTCAGAATTCGGGCTGTCCGTCTCGTTCCGATTCCCCGTTAACCCGCCTTATTTTTCGCTTCCTCCACAGAGACCTCTCCGTCTCTACCGTTTGTATACCTTCCCCTTTCTCGCGTTGAGGGGCACTATATCACTATCTCCATTCTGTCCGTTGCCTCGACGCACCCCTACTTTTCTCGATCCATCTCTCTTTCTTGAAACAGCCTTGCCAGCGACTGTCTCTCTTTTCCTCTCTCTCTTTCTCTCTTTCTTCAATTCTAGACACCACGACACGCGTCTCCCTCCCTGCGATTCACCGTCTCTGTTTCTCAACGTCGTGTCTCGCTTTCTTCCTCACATTCGCCCTTCCGTTTTTCCAACACGGCTCTTGCCTCCTTCCACGTTGCTAGATTCCCCTCTCTCCTGTGGTGTCCCTCTGGCCGTTCCACCCTCTTCAGTGACTCCCCCCTATTTTTCGATGCCGCCCTACCCATCGAGGTTCGTGGCGCGCTGTTGCCTACCCCCTCAGGGATACGACCGGAGGTACTTGCGTGCGCAGCACGTCCATCGATCTATTTTAGCTCACCTACGCTCCTGCCAGGCCGGGTATATACCTGCTGCCGCTTCCACGCCGTACCCTGCGCGCGTACGGGTGCGTTCACACTACACATTGCCACGGGGATGAAATGAAGAGGGCAGCTGAAGGAGGGAGTGAGGGCGGGCGAAACTTCGATCAGAGACCCAGAGACCCGAATTGTCGATTCTAGGTTACGAAGATCAAGAGAATTCCAGAGAGGATAGTCTGGCTGTATCAATGTTCAACAAGCTTGATTCGCTTAGAAATTAAATGATCGTATAAAATCATAAGCGTATCCTTTTTATCCTATCGTTGATTTAACGTCTGTTAAACTATAAGTAATTAACATTAATTGATATTTAAGCAATCATATTTTTTCTCTTCAAAATTGTCTATCTCGGAATACGCAGTCATTATATATATTAATGGAATGTTTACTGAAAATTTACTAAAAATTGACATAACTTTTCTGAGATTATATAAAGATTGCTAGTAATTTATGTTTACTATACATATAATCTTATCTATATATATTTGCAAAAAGTGTATTTTGTGCATACCAAGCTTTTGATCATACCTGTTTCAGTTAAAAGGCTTTTGTGCAAAATATACTAGAAAGTATGATCTCTCTTTAATATTCTATAATAAATCTATGATTAATGTTTTTTCAACAAGAGAAATTAAAATATTAATTATTAAAATTAGTATTGGATATTTTTATTCTGCAGAGAGAGAGAGAGAGAGAGAGAGAGAGAGAGAGAGAGAGAGAGAGAGAGAATAAATATATAAAAACACAAATTGGTAAAACTTAAGTGTTTTACCTTCGAGCAGGTTTTTTAAACTAGCTATCTTTATTTTGTGCAAATACAAATGTTATTGCAAATAACTTTGTGTGCTTAATTGTAACTTAAAAAAATAATATAAAAAATGATTATTTTTGCATAAATTTGTTTCGAATAAAAATTTTACTCGTTTTTCTGACAGCAGTTTCCATTTGATATAGCAAAATGACGCATGTCATATTGTTCGCAATATCGTGTGTCCAGTACACTCGGAAATATACGTAGCGATATGGAAATAATTTTCCATATAATTTCTAACGCCATTACTACTGCAACTGCAGTAAATCGTATTCGGGTTTCCGAATTTTTCATCAAACTTTTACTCGGATACATTTACGTGATTGTTATATTCGCGTTATAACTTATACTTAGAGTACGAACGACACGATAATTGTGTTAGCATCACACGTAGAACGTGATCTCGGGTTAATAGTGGGGCTGTCTGCTTACAGGAAACCCTAGCGCAACGCATGTTACTCACGTGATTGTAATTTCCATGGGAATTACTTGGCAACACAAATGTCACCAGTGTATTTCGCATTTATTCGCGGCAGTCACGCACCAAGATATTAAACTTCATCGCTTAAGAATTTCTACATGATTGTTGTCAACTTGAGATGTATCCTCTTATGCACATATTTTATCCAACGAAATATGTACATCACTAAACATTAAATTTTTATTTGTAAATGTCACAGAAAATAAATTTATTATAATTTTAGCAATTTTAGATAATACAGAAATATGTGTTAGAAATAGTAAATATTGCAATTTATGTAGAGCATTTTTCGATATTTATACACCAAATATGGAAAATTGAATTCGCTAAAAGTTACTATTTTCTAACTTATTGTCAGCTTCGTAAATTTATCACAGCCTCACAGTTGCCATAGATTAATGGAGCTACCATAGATCTACAGATAAGCCGCATATTTTCGAAAGAATAAACGGACTGGCTAAACAAACCGAATTTTTTGTGTTTTTTATTTATCGATATATTTTTCTCTCGCAAGGTATTTCGTCGGTTTTGCCGAGAGATTTGATATTAAACGCTCGGTTGATTTGGCCGGACGTGCAAACCTAGATAGCCGCTTGTTGAAATTGTTTTCGCTTTTTGTGAAATGAAAAACACATTGCAATCTAACAAGTCGGAAACATCGACAGTGATCTGATTTGGAAATTACTTTCAATTTGTGTACCGTCACAATTATGTTCTGATTTATTGCATGAAGGTGCTTTCGAAACGTGTCTTCTTTTAAAGCTCTTGACTACTCAGCCAAGAACTCCACCGTCGATGGTGACGATATTAGATCGTGGTAGGAATTAGAACTTTGGTCATCGTATTAAGCGGATTCTACAATAGTGTCGTAAACCGCAAGTCGTAAGAAATTGACTAATCATAGTTGATTATTCTCCTTACATTTAACTGTGATTGGTCAGTTTCTTACGACTTGCGGCTTACGACACTATTGTAGAACCGAAGTAGACCCGTTCGATAATACGTCGTATGTCGTAAGCCGTAAGTTGTAAGAATTGATCAATCATAGTCGAATGTCTGATTGATCAATTCTTACAGTTTACGATACCGGCATACGACGTGTAACGTGCTACAGAATGGGCCTTACTGTGACAATGAAATTTTGTCTTGCATGCCATTTCGTGATTATATGTTTAACTGTGAAAATGTGACTTGTTTCGTACTTACTAAAATCGTAAAAATGAATAAAAAGTAATATTATCGTTGAATTTTATATGTAAAAGCATATTTTTCATTATTTCAATAATTGCCAAACCGTGTTCTTGTCTAAGTTCTTGGCTTTACTTCACGTGCTTTTTACTATTTACTGACTGTCAGGGAGAAAAGAGGTAGTTTCCGTTTATTTTTAGAGTTTCAAAGTGATTCTATTTTTTTGTTTCATTCAAATATTCTTTATTTACAAATGGTATGCATTTAACGTATCACTTCTCGCTTACGTCATGATTCCAATATTTTCGCGGTAGTCAGAAGTCTTAAGCACATAAATATTCGGTATATTTATTAAAAAATACGTTTATTGCTATTTGACCATAAACTGATAAGATAAGCAAATGACATAAGATTTACACGAATCAACATTTACTTCATTAATTAAAGTTTGGATGATATGACGAAGTATGATATTAATTAAATAATTCTTTATTCAGTCACAATTTTTTTTTAAATTTAGATTAAAAATGTAAAACAATTTGTATAAATACATAATTTGAAAAAGATAATGGAAAACTCGTAATTGATTATAATAATTATTAGTTTTTAAAATTTTAGATTTTTTTGAAAAATGCCTATCCTTGTACTAAAGCTAAGAAAACAAAAAAGGCTTTCTTTCTAGGTTCAAATAAATTGTATTTGGAATAGATATATTATAAATAATAAAAAAAAAATATTGAGAGTGAGATAAAGTTTGATAAATTGAGAAAAATGGCATTTTTATCGTTTTATGCCAATTTGCAATGGAAACAAAAGCATCAAATAAAACGGACTATACTCTGAAATCGAATTCTCAGCAACATAATTTTATGCCATTGTATGAGCTGCCGTATATTTATGGAATTGACATGCATGCTAGTTAATAGGACCGTAGCTGGTCCCTACGATGTGATAATGAAATCGGATTATCGATTTCGTTCCCGCAGCAAATAGTCGTATACCGACGTAAATGGCATTGATAGACGGCGCTATGAGGGCGTACAGAATAATAGCGCTAGCACTCACACACAGTGCCTAATGGAAAATTTTCATTAGCTATCTGGTCTGTCAAGACGCGATCTGAAATCGGTGTAAATACGTAAATACGTATGTAAATTATCGTATGTAAGTTACCGTCTTGCAACTTATTGATAATAAGAGAGCTTTTAACTCGGTGTATACATTTTATTAACTTGTCGATAGAAGTTTATTTTTCTACAATATCTTCTATTGTAATTTATTTAAAAATTTTAGAAGTAAATAATGTGAAAGAAAATATATAAATGTAACATTGACTTTTTTGTTATATTCCTAAGATATCAATTAAACTTTTCAATAAGGATACTAACAAAAAATAATAGAAAAGTTTTTCAAATTAAAAGGTTTTCGCTAAATTTGCATATCAAAAGAGATTTTACATATAACTTATACGCATTTATAATCTTTCTAATTTTGTCTTGGTTTGCCAACAAAAGAATATGAATTTTTCAACTTGCAATAAAGTCGGGGAAAATATTTGAGATCGGTAATGTCGTATCGCAAGTATCTTGAAATGTGACTTTTCAACAATGACTTTCAAAGTAACTATAAAGTTCAGCATGCTATACCTTTGAGCTTAATTCTCCCAAGCTTTTCCGCCATTTATTCCAATACGACATTAAAATTGCTCTACTCTATTTCTGCCTCATCGCTGTAGTATTATACAATGTGATTAATCGCATTAAAATTAAAATCACCATAATATCA